AGGGCCAAGGGAAGGGCCCGCAGCCCTGGAAAGCAGGGGAAGGGGCATTGGCTCTGGCAGGGGCAGGGACAGGGACAGGGACCCAGGCAGGGGAAGGGGCATCGGCTCTGGCAGGGGCAGGGGCAGGAATGGGGACACAGGCAGGGGAAAGGGCATTGGCTCTGGCAGGGGTACAGACAGGGACACAGGTAGAGGAATGGACAGGTGCAGGGGCAGGAGGTGGGTCATGGGCAGGAATGGGTGCACATGCAGGGGCAGGGAAACGGGTAGGGAAAGGGGAAGGAGCTGGGTCAGAGGCAAGCACCGGAGCAGAGGGAGGGGCAGGGGAATGGACAGTTGCAGGGGCAGAAGCCGGGACAGGGGCAAGAACAGGGACACAGGCAGGGGCAGGAGAAGGGGCAGGCCTTGGGTCAGGGGCCGGAACAGGAGCACAAGCAGGGGAAGGGGAAGGGGCAGGTGCAAGGGGAGGGACAGGGTCTGCAGCAATGGCACATACAGGAACCAAGGCAGTATCTGGGTCAGGGGCAAGGACAGGGGCACTGGCAGGGGTGGGGACGGGTCAGGATCCAGGGCAGGAGCCGGGTCTGGGGAAGGAGCAGGGCCACAATTCGGGGCAGGCGCAGGGGCACTGGCTCTGGCAGGAACAGTGGCAGGAACAGGGGCAGGCTCTCCGGGCACAGGTTCTCCAGCAGGCCCTTCCTGGTCGGCGTCAGGCTCTCCGTGGGCAGGTGCCGGGTCAACTGCCGGCTCCTGGTCTCCTGCTGAAGTCTCTGCAGGCACCACCCCTCCCTGCAGAGCTGCTGATGGAGTTGGAGCCGGCTCCAGCTCCTTCGGTCGTGGAACATCTGTGAGAGGAGAAAAGCTCACCCCCGTGCCTGCTCTCCTTGGGCCTTTGCAAGACAGAGCCCAGCGCAGGGCCTCCCAGAGAAGCCGCAGCCAGGAAGGAGCCCTCCCCGGGACGTCTCCCCGACTGCAGTCCACCCGCTGGGTGCTCTGCACACAGTCTTTGCTCCTGGCCCCACACCAGCCTCTCGGGGCTCCTCCCTGTGGCGCCAGCCCCGACCTGTCCCCACACACCCACAGGCACCCCGCCCCAGGCTTCTCATCCTCGAGCTCGGTCTCCGTCGGCTCTGTTCCTGGAGCACAATCCAGTCAATGACCACCAGGGACAGTGGTCTGGGTGGTGTCGGAGGCCTTCCCCCGCAATCCCCAGCACCTGCTCCTGGGGACCCCTGTGGGGTCACGCCCCAGGTCCCGGAAATG